GGCACACAGGCCCAGTTGGGGTGTGCATCCAGGCTCCAGCCACAGGCTGAGCCCCACATCAGCTGCCAGGGCATGTCCCCAGAGCAGGGCCCACTCCCCAGCCGTGGGACACACCGTGGGCCGCGAGAAGGGAGCGAGGAAATCGATGTATTTGAAAGCACACACTCACACACAATATGCATGCAACTGTGTACACGTGTGTGCACACACAAAACAATTGCATGTACACGCACATAGGTGTACACAGTACAATACACACATGCACACGTGTACACATCACAAATGCACGTACAAACGCATGAGTACACACACCGCACACACATACACACGTGCATGTGCAGGCACGCAAACGGTACTCGTGTGCACACATAACGGGATCGCACATGTGCACCCATGTTTATGTGCATATCAGTACACACAATATTCATGCACACATGCAGGTATATACACCCACATGTGCAAGTACACACACAATATGAACACACCTATGCTCTGCACACATAATTGTACGCATGCACACACAAGGCACCTCAGTGTGTCCGAGAGGAGAGGGGAGGGGGGCCATGAGGTGGATGGTTGCCCTTCGGGGAGCCCCGCCTGGGGACCGTCCCGTGAGGGGACGTGGAATGCCTGGGCCCATCAGAGGTGGCCAGGCGTGGGGAGCGGCTGCCCCGGGGAGGGGTGGAGTGTGGGGCGAAGGCGGACGCTGCCCATCCGTCCCTGTGTGTGGTCAGTGCAGCATGCTTTCAGGTGAGGGCACAGCAGCTGTCTGGGGATGGACGTGCTCAGCAGGCCTGGCCCTGTTGCCCGGCCAGGGAGCTGGGCGTCTCTGGTGGCTGCCCTCTCGGAGGGACTTCTCACTGTGCCCGGGATGAGCGCAGGCGTCCCCGCCTGGTCATCGCCTGGACAATGACTCACCTCTGCGTTTTTAGCTGGTCTTTGCTGGCCATGGATGCCCTGGGTCAGAGCCTGCCGCCACCTCCCCTGGACCCAGGCCCTCGGCGTCCACGTGGAGACCAGCCCTGACTCCTCAGCCAGGACGGCAAATGAGCAGAGAGGGCCCAAAGTGCCCGTGACCGGGTGTGCCCCGGGGACGCTGGTGGTGCGATCTGGGGCGCCCCGGGGGCGCAGTGCTTGAGAAATAATTGGGACTCAGCATCCTGGCTGGGCGCCCGGCTCCACCCTCCCTCCGCCCCAGCTTCTCCCTGGCTGTGAACTCGGCTTCACACCTTGGGCTCTGGGGAGTTCGCAGCTGAAAAGGCCCTTTCTGCCGCCCCTCCCGGCCCTGGTAAACAAAACCCTATTTATGTCCTCAGCGCACTTAATTACACCAGCGGGACCAAAGGCGGCGAGGGCCGGCAGTTAAAAACAGGTCCTTACCATAGGGAGAAGCTGCCGTGGGCCAGGCTGACAACCAGTAGCCATGTGTTCTTGGGGGGCAAATGCCTCCAGATTTTTGTTTTGGAAAGTTGAAAAAAGGGAGGCTGAGGCAGGAGCATTGCATATTTGAGCCTAGCCTGGGCAATTTAGCAACTTAGTGAGACCCTGCCTCAAAGTACAGAATAAAAAAGGTGGAGATGTAGCCTAGTATGAAGGCCTTGGGTTTAGTCCCCAGTACAGAAAAACAAGACAGAAAATGCAAATCCAAAGCCCTGTGACCTGGGTAACCGCAGGGCAGCCTCGCTCACGGCCGCACCCTTTCGCCCGCCCACACGCTGCTCCGCGGTCCGTCTGTTTTGCTGATTTAAAAGTTAGTGGCAGAGGATGGCAGGACCCCAGGCCCCAAATCCTCCCGCACTGCCCCCCAGGAGCTGTGTGTGGGCGCCCCTGCGCCCTCTGAGTGGCTCCCTGCAGACCGAGGCTCTGGGAGCTGCACGCGGAAACGGAGACACTAACTGTGGACTCCAGGAAGCCACAGTCCCGGCTCGGACCGCATCCGTGGGACTGCGGCAGCTCTGTCGCCCCCTGCTGGCGGGGTAAGCCCCGGGCCTCCTCGGGGTTTAAGGTCGCACCCCTGTCCCTTTCCTCTGTTCTCCTCCCGTGTCTCTGTTGATCCCGGCGTGGGCAGTTACAGCCCGTAACCAGTGGGGATTTGTGGGCGGCTTCCTCCAGCTTCGGCTCAGGACGGAAACCCCTCTGTAGGAGCTTGCAGGGTCGGCGCTGTCACCGATGCAGGAGGGGGGCTTCTCATCAGCTGGTCTCCCTGTCCCGGTGCCTCTGCACCCCAAGGGGCTTTCCCCCCATGATTCACTGGGAACTCCTGCCCGGACATTCTGGCACCAGGGTGACATCCTGTGCCCCTGTGCCCCTGGGCTGGACCGCCACCTCCGCAGACGCTGGCCGGGTCACAGCCCCCAGCACCAGGGTTACTGAGCTTTCCTCTGCAACAGACCGCAGAGTCCGAAGAGCCTAAACTCTCGGTGGTCTGGTGCTTCCTTCTCCCGTGGTGCTGAGGGTGGAACCCGGGGCCTTGCAAGAACTCTACCACCCAGCTGCCTCCCCAGCCTTTGTTACTTATTTTTGACATGGAATTTCACTGAGTTCCCCAGGCTGGCTTCAAACTCGAGATGATTCTGCCTCAGCCTCCTGAGTAGCTGGGATTACGGGCATGCACAGCTCTTTACAGAAAAAGCTTGCGGACCTCGCCCCAAGGGTATGGGGGTTGAAGAGGGAAGTGAGGAGTCCAGTTTTAGCAGCTGGTCTGGAGCCGGCGTCCAGCTCTCTGACCCCTGCATGTTACCCTTAACTAAGGCTCCCGTGTTTGCCAGGCGGGCGCTGTGCTGCTGAGCTAAGCCCCGGCCCGCTGTGGTTGCCTTGGGGTCAATTATGCTTTAAATAAAGTGCAAATACATTCAGGGCTGGCACGAGGGTGCTGGTACACGTGGCATGGGGTCTATAGTGGCAAAGCAGAGGCTGGGAGCCACCCTGTATGGCCGCTGGTCACTCAGAGAACCTACGTCCCCTGAACACCGCGCCCCGGGGTCACGCGTCTCAGATGATTTCCCCCAAGGGAAGGCATGAGGTCGCCCAGCTGGTGCATGTGGCAGCCGGAATCCACAGGGCCGAAGTGTCACTTGTTGACCAAGAGGGTTTAGGGGAGAAAAAGCGTTATGCGACCAGGAAGGAGTCCTCAACACGTGTCGCGGCTCTGCAGGAGCGGTTACGGAGGCCTTGTCCGCGGAGCCGTCGCCTGGTACGGCGGCCAGCTCCCCAGGCAGGCGAGACACAGAACCCGGGGCGTGTTGGGCACGAGGTAAGCTGAGGTCCAGCCAGGCACGAGCCACGGGGACACCGGACAGATGAGCCCTCCCAGGGCGTGTGCCAACGCACCCATCAAGGCA